ATTAAAGGATTTCACCATTAACACCTCATTACCATTAGTTATAGATTGTGCTGAAAATGATTTTGTGAATTAATATGTAAAACCAGTAGGGTTGTTTTTAAAAAAATATAAATTTTAGTCCATAATACATATACTCTCTTCTCTCTATATAGGCAAAGCATTTAGGTATTATATTTGAAATTAATTATTGCCACAACAAGCATTGTTGCTTCTAGTAAAATAGAAGAGAATAATTTTTAAAATTGGTCTTAGATTAAGGTCCTTGAAAATTTTGTTGAGGTCCTTGAAAAGTCCTGGAAAGTCCTTGAATTTCAATCTCATCATAGAGTGGGAACCCTGTTTTATCAATTTAGTAATTACGGCGGCACTGTATAGAAATGCTTTAAAAAAAAAAGCTTTGAACACAGTTATTTTTAGACTTTTAGGGACAATATTTAAAAAATCAGCAATAGTTTTTTTTCTTTTCTTTGTTGAATATTGAAATTTTATTAATTAATTAATTTTTTCATTTAAATCTCTGTACAGTGTAGTACTTAAAAAGAATTGTTAATAGAAATGATAAACATTAATGACTAACTTGCTTAATTGAAATTTTTTTTATCAAAGAGCTTAAGATTTTCCTTTTTGCCAAAATAAAGGATATAGATCAATTTATTAACTTTATGGGTAAATTTGCTATTGTAAAATTTTTTTACACCAGTATTCAAACTTACATAAGTAAAAATATGTGTGCTTTCAGCTCTCTTTTATCTGGCACATAAACTGGTAGATCTTTACCCTGAAAGCGCTGTAAGTATTCATATATTTTTATTGCTCATCTTAAATATTACTGTCCATTATAATACTTTTTATTTATCTATATATGCATATTAACCCTTGATAATTAAACTTAAATCAGTGTATCACTGATCTTTAAATTCACAATTTAAAACACACTTATTTTTATATTTCATTTATTTATGAAGTACAATGTGGTTTAAGAGAAATGCTCCTACATTTTAAATACATTTTTGTAAGTGTAAATAAATATAATAAAAATTTGCAATCTTTGAATCCGTAAAAGTGTATTTGAAAGTATTTGGGATTCTCAAAATTGAGGGAAGTTAATGAAACATTTTTAACCATCTATGGTCAACCTTACTCCAGTTCTCTTATTTGTCAATCCTTCTTTATTTTATTCATTAAATGTAATTTTCTGGTTATATTATTCACTAAATATTATCAAATGTAAAAACCATCGCAAAAGTTCGCCATTGATCTCACCCAGCACATTAAAGCTGTTTTTTGCAAGTTCCGTTATATTATTATAATATGAAATGATGCATTTTTGCGAATAATATGCTATTTTTATAACTTCTGTGAGTTTATTATTGTTACTCGTGACTGTGAGGTCAAGTTTAGCCTATCTAAAGCCAGCACTGTCTAAACTTATTTTGAAAATGGTGTAAAATGTCAATATGGAGAAAAGCCGCAATTTTGTGAAAATGAAGTGTCTGTGGTCTAATTTTTTTACTATTTAAAAACATACTCCAATGTTGCATTACTTGGGCTTATAAAAAATTTGCAAAAACTGAGAATAAGGCAGTGATTTTGATAATTTTCATCTATGCAAAAAAATATCCTCATATTGGCAATTTTTAAAAAAGTTTAGTAACTTTTGAAGAATTTAAGTTATTTGTCTGTTCTAATACCCAGATAATTCTTCACAGCAAGATTATATGTATAGTGTAAAATCATCACATTGCTAGAAGTGTAAGGCACATAAACTATATATATATTTTTTATATCTTCCTTGGCGGCAAAACTTTGAAAAGCAGCGTTAAAATAGCATCCTGATGTGTGATCTGCAGTGAACATGTTCATAAGTAAAAGAAAGAAATTTTTTCTTTATTCTTGTATATAGTGCAACCGAATAGTTACTCTTAAAAATTCTAACCAATGGTTATTTTTAATAATCTACTACTTACATTTATTATTTGTAGTTGATTTAATTTTTTATTACTATATCATTTATAATTTTTAAGGTTGCTTGGTATGCAGTTGGATGCTATTATTTTCAAATATCTAAAACAGACGCTGCTCGGCGGTATTTAAGGTATGTTGAAAAATTGCAGGATGATTAAATGTGTTTTTTAAATCAAATAATAATCCAATTTTTATAGTTTATACAACTTATTGCCATAACCTTATGAAATCACATTCATTCATTCTTCGACTCATTATGTACATTTCTTTGATATTTTTCTTGCTTTAGCATGCATTGTGGCTTTTGACATAAACCATTCATTGCCTTATAGAATTTCGTAATTCCTTAATTAATCTGACTTTAATTAATTATTTCTAGGAAATGTCTTATAAAATAATTTAATCGTATTTATTCATTGTAAGAATTCATTTGCAATATTGCGAATGAATTCTGGAATTTGAACAAAACAAAAAAGTTCTTGTTAAGTTTCTTTTCTAATGTTTAGTTTGATTGTAATTAAAAGAAATACGGAAGAAATCATTACTATTTAATAGCTTTGATGTTCAAAGTAAAAGTCATTCCTTTTTATTATAAATAAAAACAGAGAGCATACTTATTTTTATCTGAAAGAATTTTTGAAAGTCTAGCCATTCAAAAACTCAGACATTGTTACACATTTGCAAGTCATATTTTGCTTTGTTAGTTTTTTCTTATTTATTAATTGCAAATTTTATCATTATATAATTTTTAGAATGGAATTAATTATCTAAAATTGCAAATTACTAAAAAAATGATTTTTTTTCTGTGCTAAATATTGCTTTATTTTTTTCTATTGACAACAAAGTATGATATTTCTTTATTTGGGTAGTCAAGCTAGTTATGACGCTTTTCTAAATGATTTAATAATGCATTTTTTGCTTTAAAAATTATTTAAACTTATATTTTAAACAAACTTTCCAAAGTTTTTTTTTTTAAGCAAAAACAATTTTGTTTAATTTTTTTAAAATTTTTGTTGAAAGTTTTACCAAAGTTCTTTATTTCCCTCAATCAGTAAGGTTTTTTGTCCTAAATAAACATGCTAAGTGCTATTTGTTTCAGTACAAAAAAAAGGTTGATTAAGTCTGTTTATACTTAAAAAAGAAACAGCTGCACAACTTACAGCATGAAAAATCTCTAGTTATTTTTATTTCCTTCCAATGCATTGTCTTGTTTTACTTCTTTCAAGAGCTTTTAATTCTTACTCCAAAGGCCAACTTAGCTGCTGATATTTCTGCTACTTCTTTTCATAGTTTCATGTATTGACTAATGGTCACATAACTTTTATTTTTCTGCTTGCTTTTTACAATCAAACATGATACTGTATTAAACGTTGCAAACAAATATTTTATTCTTATATCATCATTGAGCTTTTTATGCTGGATAAAGCTTAAAATATGTGTTTAAGAAAATGAACACAGCTAAAAATGTGTCTTTTCAATGTTCAAACCAAATTTAACAACTAAACAAGGAATTTTGTACTCTCTTTACATTTTTAAACACTAAGCAAGATCTTTTCAGGGAAATTACCTTACATTATTCTTATCACATTACATTTCTCTAACTTCGGATCAAGGCAACTGGGTATATTACAGATGTATATTTACAGGTATCTCTTTGTGTTCAAAGCACTAAATGATAAGAAATCTAAATTAACCGAACCTAAATCTAATTTATACCACTATTATAAATTTGTAAGACCCATGATATCTATGTAATGAGAAATATAGTCTAAAGTATCTCTTTTTTTATACTATGAATTAAATGTTTAAAACTTTTTAAGTAGATTCTATACACTGTATTAAGCATTGAAAGCATTACTATTTATTACTAGCAGATACACTTTGACTTAATGGAACACTGTTAGTTGCAAGGTGAAATATATTAATTTAAAATCTGCTTGTATTCTTTCAACTCATAAAATGAACTTATTGTTGTATTGTAAATGTTTTTAAAACTAAAATTTAGTATTAGTATTGAAAGTAATTGTAGAATTCATCTATTAGTATTATCAAGTTTCATTCTATCTTTAAAATTAATTTTTTTATTTGTTTTTACAGCAAAGCTACAACATTAGATAGATTTTATGGTCCTGCATGGCTTATGTATGGACATTCGTTTGCTGTTGAGAATGAACATGATCAAGCAATGGCTGCCTATTGTCGAGCATCTCAGTTAATGAAAGGGTATGGTAAATCTTTTATTGTTTTCTTTTAAGAATTTGCAATCATTTAAAATAAAACTATAATTTTAATGATGATAAAATATTAGTTCCTAGTGAAATTCCAGATTTTCATTGTGACAAACTTGTAAAAATGTTGGTTTGTCTGTTAAGTTGTTTCTGAAATGGAAATATATGGAAGAAAATGGAAATATGTTTATGCAAGCTTTATTTTTTAATAATTCTCTTAATTTTTACATCTTCGTAAAGAAATTATTTAGACATTTAGTTTGTATTTTTAATTGAGTTTCAAAATACCTGTTCCATCACTATAATTTATATAGTATAAATTATAGTTATTTAATTCTTATACCAACTTGCAAAGAAAAAAAAACTTTTTATATCTCCTATGTAAAAGTGGAAGAAAATATTAAACATTCTATTTTAGACTTGTTTTAATGCGTTTGTTGTGAAAAAATTCTTATTGATGTCAATCGAAGATAATTTTCAATGAAACATGTTCATATTGATTCACTTACAGCTGTCTTAAATATTCACTCTAAAGTTAACGTTACTGTTTAACTTATTGTTAAAGTTAACTCTTTAAAAACAAAGGAAAAACTGAAACTGTCGATTAGTTTTTAAAAAATAGTCTATTTTTTTCTAGGTGTCATCTTCCATTGTTATACATAGGGCTAGAATATGGTTTATCAAACAACATAAGATTAGCTGAAAGATTTTTCTCCCAAGCTCAGAATATAGCACCTGGGGATCCATTTGTTTTACATGAACTAGGAGTTGTTGAATATCAAAATGGAAAGTAAGTATTCTTATAATCAAAATATCGTTACATTATAAAAAATAATAAAAAAACATGGATATAGAAATTTAACTAAAGAAGCAAGCAAATAAAAAGCAAGTGATTTGTAGACAATGGTCATAATGAAAATATAGATAATAAGCAAATGCTTAGTAAGTTGATAAGTTAAAATAATCTGTTCAAAAATTGTTATAAACTATTTATGTATTTTAGTTTTCAATGTCATTATTGTAATTTACTATTATTTGCATTTTGTTGAGTGATACATGTGATTTAATTACAAAATCTACCTGAAAAAAGGTTATACGACTAAATGAAGAGTTTAGTGGGAAAATGCTATTTGACAGTTTAGTGAATTTGGAAAAATGAGTTTAAAACTTAGAAACGACAGAATGTTGTTTGCCTTAAATTCTTTTACATTAAAATTTGCCTTCTCATTAAATTATTCAGCTTAATTGAAACATTTCATACTATTGAAATTAATTGTAAAATGCCATTGATTTAGATTAAATTAAGATAACGCTACCAAATTTGACAGCATGTAAATATAATAATAGAAATAACTATAATGATTCGACAACATATAAATATAATAATTTCTAAAACATTTATATACTGGAATATTTCCTTTATTTTTGAAATTCATGCTCTCAAGTTTATTTTTGTTCCAAAATAATAGTTTTATTTTTATTATAATTCAAAAATACAGTTAAAATTTCTTAGTTCTTAAATTTGTTTAGAATTTTGTCATTAAAATAGTTTTAGGCACGTAAAATATAATTTCAAGATGGAAAACCCTTTGCAGGATGATTTTTTAAAGCATAATGTTTTCGGTATGTTTCCCAAATTTTTTAAAAATAAATTAAACTTTTTATGTTTAAAACTATGTACATTTTTGCAAATTTCAACTGAAAATTGATGGTACTATATACAGACCGTTCACCAGTAAACTACAATTTATTATTTGTTAGACATATTTCAATGTCATGAAGATTTTATATTTAAATACTGTAAACGAAATACTATTTTTATATCGTGATTTATAAAACTAATCTCCAAATTTTTATTTTAGCTATTCAAATTCATTACATTATTTTCAAAATTCTCTATTGAGGCTTGAAAAAAGTGGCCAGTCAATTCTTCCAGAAAAATGGGAAGGACTATTAAACAATTTAGGACATGTTTGCAGAAAACTTAAGTAATTATTGTCATAATTTAAATTCTAATTATTTTAAAATTGCTTTTTTTTTGTACTTTCATAAATCTTAATTTTATAGAATGTATGAAGAGGCACTTAGTTATCATGAGCAAGCTTTAATACTTATACCTCAAAATCCATCCACTTATGCTGCAATTGGATTTGTACATAGTTTAACTTCACACTGGGCAGAAGCAGTTGAATATTTCCATAAAGTAAGATTTAATGCTTAAACTTTTAATTAACTTTTTTTTGTTTCTTAGTTCTTAGTCAGTTATACATTTTATTTTGTCTATATTTTCCTTAACAGGGTGGCCACTAACAGAAAATTTTAACAATCTGGAAAAAAAATTAGAGAAATATCTGAGATTTTAACTTAAATATCCAAAAAATCAAAGGAATGTATTGAGTTTTAAGAACCTAAAAGTCCGTTATTTATTCAAAAAAAATGTTCTCGTAATACTTTTGAAACTGTCTATTTCCCCTCCAATGCCAAGTATAAGGTGCTTTGTATAGGTATAAGCATTAATTTCAGGTATAAGAATTAAGAATAAGATATAATTAAAAAATTAATAAAATTTATGCCACCTGTTGCAGAAAAAGTTTTTTTGTGGCAAACCTGTTAACTTTTGTATCATTTCTTCATTGTTATCAGAATGTCTTAGTATAAAGAAATCACAAAAGTTGCTAACATATTATTCCTATTTTAGTTTTTGTGGAATGAAGTTTTTTGTAATAATAAGTTTTATCCTAACCTTTGCAGTGTACCAGTTGATTCAACCACTATCTAAATTGTAGTACTAGTAATCAAAGTGACCATGAAAACTAGACTTGCCTTAACTATATATACTTACCAATAACTATCATGGTATTTAGCTATGCTTCAAGAAATACTGTTGGTTTTAGCAAGTAAATAGTCTGTTAAAAAACTTTATCTGTATTTCCCTACCAGTATTATGTGTTAACACCTAATTAATAATAATGCAAAGCAAGAAATTATTTTAAGTGGATATTTTGAAACAAAATTAATAAATAACATGGTGGAAATTTGTATTAATCTTTGTTTACAAATGAGGGGGAAAAAGTTTTTTATTCATTCTATATTTAAGTGAAAAGAATATTAAATTTAATAATATACATTACTACATATATCTCTACTAAGTGAAGAATTTTTGCACCTATGTCTGTGCCTAAAATTTTATTTCATGAGATTTCATTCTTATCAACAAGAAACATTTATTTATGTGTTAATTATTTAGCAGTACTTCAGAGATGTCATACTATGAGTTTTCCATTATTTTTATATATTTTAATTCTTACTATAAAATTATAAAGAAGTTCATTTTTTTTAAAATTTATTTTTTTATAATTTTTATTTGACTTACGACCTCATAAATTGCAGTTTGACCCGCTTATATTTTCATCCAAGATAAAATTATTTATTTGTGCCTGGTATAAGTTAAAATCATTCTTTCTGTTATATGTAAACTCTAATTGTTTTCTGTGACAAAATTTTCGGAAAAAAATGTATTGTTTGAAGAAAATAAAAAAATTAAACTTTTAAAAACATCTTAGCAATTTAATTATGGGATGAAACATTGTCCTTACATGTTAGCATCTCTAGTATAGTGATAAATATTTGTAAATGAATATTTTTAATTGTTTTCCATCCTAATATTTGCTACATGTTGACATCTTTGTTATTTGTTTGTTTTTTAATTTGTGAACTAATTTTTCATTTAACAGACTGATGTTATACATCGGTATATAATTGCTACAAGTGGGCATCCCAAGTATTTTTTGTTTTGCAATTTGTAAAAAACTATTTTTGAACTGTTACATTTGTTAAAAATGTTTAAAATAATTCTGACAAAAGAGCAATCAGCGTACCCTGGAAACTATAGCACGATACCTTGGAAGTTATTAATAGTGTTGATCTATTTCAAATGAAATGGGTAACAAACAATAACAATGATGTTTTATGTTTATTTTTAGGCCCTAGGATTACAACGAGATGATGTCTTTTCTAACACAATGTTGTCTTCTGTGATAGAACAGCTTGTAAAGGAAACTTCCCCTTGTATAGGTATTTATTACAGTTTTATTAAGATTTTACTTATTTAAAGAATTGAATATTCCTTTAAATAAATTTTATATTATTCTATTTAATTAATTTAACTGTTGAAATGCAGGCCAATTCTTTTAATAACATGCCCCTGGTCAAAAATACTTCAATTAAAAAAAAAAAAAAAATGTTTTATGGTCAATGTATAAAATCTAGCATTCTATAGATTTTCTAAAATCAACTGATAACATAGGAAACGCTCATTATTTGTCTAAGCTTCCTATATAACGCTGTCATTTCATACATTGGTTGTAGCAATTACATTGAATCTTTATTCTCTTGTTTCTGTTTTGATGTTTTTTATTGTTGATCCCAAATTCAGTTAGGGGTACAAGCTATATGTTTTTTTATGCAGAAAATTATGTTATTCCATAGGTTCTTTGACTTGCTTTTAATTTTGTACTTCTTAGAGAGCAAATCAATTAATAGCCATTACAACTTCCAGTAAAAAATTCTGTGAATAGTTATCTCTACACTTTTTCGATTACCTTGTTTAAACCATATTCACAAAAAGGTTCAAATTTATTATTTATTTAAAATTATTTGTTGTTCACAATTAACTCATAGCTGCATTCTGAATGATTCATAGTGAATCTGATTTATTAAGTAACTGAGTTTTACTTCTTTTGTCATTGTTAACACATCAAAAAATGCATTATTTGCTTCTATTTTTTTAATGCATACATGTGTCAGCAGACAGACTAGCTTTTATTACTTCTCAATGTTTTAAATATTGTACAAAAATAAATCACTGGAGAGAAAATTCAACTTAGTGAAGTAAATTATAAATGTGAATTGAACTTATAATTAAATTCACTTTGTTTTGTAAGTAGTCTATCATGTCATGGTATTACAAGGGATTAGAAAGATGGACATTTTTCGTCAATTGCATAGCCTGTCTATTGCAATACCTCCTAAAACCACCTGAGAGACAGTATTGTGAAACTAATGTAAAATTTTAGATCTGTCCAGGCTTGCATTAGGTAAACAAACTTAAGTGTGTTACAGGAAAAGAGAAAACTGCAAAAAAATTTTGACCATCAGTTTTGTTGTTTTTCATGAAAACTGCTGTTTTGCATGAAAACTGTACCTTTATGGAAAAAAAATCTTTTATGTGATGAAAACTACTTTAGTATTATGCATGCTTTAAAAATTTTTATTCAAAAAGTTATTAGGTCTGTATGTCACACTTTCAGGAAATATGATTTAAAACTTATAAAAGCTTTTCATTAGTTTGCACATCAATGAAAAAGCACTAAATATAGTTTAAATTTGTAGTAAAAATTTTTCACTGGTGCATATTGTAAGTAGACCAGTTTTTCAGCCTTTCAAATCTTCTTTAAATGGTGTTTCTTCACTGAGATTTTTCATTTTCTGTAAGAACTATGTGTATGGTGTTAAAAAAATAATCCCAAAAAATTGAAACGATTAGATGTAACTTGATTAAAACTTATTTGATTCAAAAATATACTAACTGGAAATAAGTCTACATGTTTCGAGCGATCAAAAATAGGCACCCATTTTCAAGATTTGCTAGTCTTGAAATATAAAACGTATAGTTGCGAACGAAAAATGGAAGAAAAAGGTGAGAGGCAAAACTAAAATAATCATAGTGGCCGAGAGGACAAATCAGTGTAAAATGCATTTCCACATGTTCTGGAGCAGTGGGGAAGAACTAATGCTGTTAACAAAAGAATCAGCATTTATATTACTAAAATCAAGATTCTAGGGCATCAAGATGAGCTTATATGACTGGGGTGGAACTAATTTTGACATTGTCAAAATCCAATTTATATACAAAGTTCTAACAATGTGCAGCGCTTGATGATTTCTCGTATTCTTGATAACGGACATTTACAATTGATATGTCTATTATCAAGAATATGAAAAATCATCAATCGCTGCACATTGTTGGAATCTTGTACGTAAATTCAGTTTTGACAATACCAAAATTACTTCCACCCCAGTCACATCAGCTCATCTTGATGCTCTGGGATCTTGTTTTATTCATATGAATGCCGATTCCCTTGTTAAACACGTTAGTTCTTCACCTCTTCTCTATATAACGTGTGGAAATGCATTTTACCCAGATTTGCCTCTTGGCCACTGTGGTTTCTAGTTTAGTTTCTCACCTTTCAAATCACTTTTGTCTCTTTTTATTTACGGCTTGCGAGTCTTGAAAATGGATGCCTATTTTTGAGTGCTTGAAACATGTCTACTGTTATTTCTAATTTGTACATTTTTGAAATGGATGAAGTTTAAAATCTTTAGTAGTCATCACCCCACTCAGTGAGACAGTAATGTGAGTCTTTTTTTTTTTTTTTTTTGCAGTACTAATAACTATGGCTTGATGTTCCTTAAAGACAGACAGCAGGTTCTGGTCAAATGACACTTTTAATTAAGACAAAAACTATAAAACAATGTTTTCAGAATAATCATTCCTTGCAACAACAATGTGGCACTGTTTGAATACAGAATTAATAAACTCATGCAAACGTTTAAGTTTGAAGAATAGTCTGACCTACTGCAGAAAAAATTGTTTTGTAGCTTTTTTAGACAGCAGCGCCGTCTGTGAACGAATTTTGAAATTCTTGAATTAAAGTTTGTTTCCTAAACAGAATGAAGCAAACCATGCAATACTGTCTCGCTTTTTTTTTAGTGGGTTTTTCAGGAAAGGCAACACTCACCTAAATGAGGTAATGATTGATATTTCTATCATACCAAAAACATATATAGTGTCAGGCTTGGTGCATCTTTGTGTAGTCCTGTGAAAAACTCAAATACTTTTAATTTTGTTATAATAATAAAATGCCATTTAAAAGAAAATAATCATTGCAGATACCCCTGATGAGCTTCTTGAATATCCTTTCCCATCAGATGTCTCTTCAGATACATGCAATCCTGGTGAAGAGACTAGTGATATAATGACTGAAATAATCACTGATGATATTCCATTGAGTGACCATACTCATCATACAAATATTTCTATGGATGTCGAAATGGAAGGTGTTGAATAGTTCATTTTTTACCTAAATGTATTTTATGTGTTCACAATTTATTAATTTATATAAATGCGCCAAAATAAATGTTATCTTTTTATATGATATTTGTTCTTTTAGATTGATCAAGCATTTACTAAAATATTAGACAAAACATTTATTATATCTCTAAATATACATCAAAATACATAATCAAACTATATTAAAAAATTAATAGCTGCCAAATTATTTGGAATATGTCTTTTTTTTTCAGGTTTGTTCTATAATGCTTATTACTTGACTATTAAATGTATAAGCCAAAGCTATTCTGACAATTTAATACATTCCACAAAAGTTTGCATGATTCTCTCAGTATAATCTATCAAGATATTTTTGACTCATATAGGGCTGTGATCTCCATATGGCATTTTCTTTTTGCACCTCTCTTAGTGTGCGGAGCCTAGGGAAGTGCTTTTTTTCTTTCCCTTTATTGTCTTGAATGGGTTAGTTTATTACATTTATGTTTAATGTGTTTTTTTTAAAATTATTACATTTAAACTTCTAGAAATTTTTTATTCCAAAAATTTGTGTAGAATTACCATTGAAGTTTTTTTTTTTAAAAAAGCAAGACTTTAGTTTCTTTTGTATGCACCCAGCAAACTTCTTAACTGGGACCTATTAATTCTTCATAGTTTGGCTGGACATGAATATTGTAACCTTAAAGATGACTTAAATAGCTGATAAAAAAATTTATCAAAAAACCATGTGCTTCCAAACAACTTCACATCTTAGCAAATGTAACTTATGAATTTTAAAACTTGCATCAAGCTGATATTAATGCCTATATATTTAGAGAGGTTGTGTTTATGTAAACACAGTTAACTCATACCACTCAAAACATCGCAATTGTGAGTTAGTTCGATGCTAATAACTTTTAGTGTGCCGTTATATAGGTGTATTTAAGATAAGAGCCACAAATAATTAATGTCACAATATGGTTTGGTCCAAATTACAACATCGATAACTAGATGGGAAAAATCTGATAAGATTTTGTATGTTATAAATTTAAAAATATTCTTAGAATTGATGACAAAAGGGTTTTTGAGCTATGTCAGCCTCCTTCTTAGAGAAGAATATGTAATTTTTTTTGTGAAATATATTAAATTGCAAATAAGATTCAGCTTATACCTTTTAATGTTGGGCATACATTGTGCTTTTAACAAATCATCAAAAATTTTATCTAAGCACTAACACTAAGTAATATTCTTATCAGGGACAAATGTGAAAAAAATAATAATTTTAAGCACAAACTTTATACATACCCTTTAGCAGAATTTACGGGGTGAATTTGCTGTACTGTCTTCATAAAACCAAATTTGTCTGCAACTTCAATACAGTCTGACAAAATTATTAAAATTCAGCTGAATCTGATATAGTAGCAAAATTTGCAAATATGAAGTCTTTAAAAATTATACATTTAAGCTTTAAATTGAATTTTATACAATGATACTAAAAAAGGAAATAAATCTCTATGGAATTAAGCTTGTACAAGCAACAGAAGAAAAAAACCTGACTTTTTGTTCTTTGTGGTGCTCTCTCAAATCAGTTTTTTTTTTATTATTCAAAACAAGTTTGGAGCAGGGCTTGAAAAAACTCAGAAATTTTACCCGTCCCCGAAGTTTTCCAATAATGTACCCGTCCTCCTTTGAAACTAACCCGTCGCTTCTAAATAAATAAAAATATAATTTTCTCTTATTTATTACAAACATTTATATAAATTGCACAATGAATTAGTAGTTACTAGGTTTAGATTATACAGTAATAAAAGAAATACTAGGTTACTAATAGTAAAACCTAGTATTTCTATTACGAAATAATTCAAATAACAAAGGTTAAGTTATCTTAACCTTTGTTATTATCATGTCAATCTGTCAATTATCATGTCAATTTATCCGGTGGTACTGCGTTTTTTAAATGAATCAAATATGACGTTTGCCAGTTCCACAATCAAGCCAATGATTTACAGAGGTTTCTGCACAGAAACCTGAAAGAGGTTTTCCATTTAGGTAGATATTCATCAATGCGTTTAACGCTTCAAGTTCATTGCTGAAAAGCCCCTTTCAACCGCTGCAGTACTCCCAAACAGAGAAAACATAAATTTCACCATGCGCAGTATGTTGCTGTATTTCGAGATTAGAGGGTCATTTTAGAAGTGAGGCGCTGGACTCTTGTAAGATAACAAAAATTGAAAATGTATCATGAACAGTAACGGGAAAATGGCCATCCGCACGGACGCTGGATTCGAGAAATTTGCTGTCCGCGGGGAATTTTTGACTGTCGATTACGGGCGGTTTTTCAAGCCCTGGTTTGGAGATTTTTTTTAAAAAGAGTCCTAATGTCCAATCCAATTGTAACCCCCCACTATTTTTTTGCTTTTTTAAAATAAAATTAAAACTTAGATAAGAAATAATCTGGGGGTTTCTTCTACAGGGTATATATAAATATATACATAATTTTTAAAAAATTAAAAACAATTGTAGTATATTAGATAACTTTTATGTTTTATATTTAAAAATATATTTAAATTTGAAAGAAAACAGTTAAAAATATTTTGCGACTCATCTAATTTATATTCAATTGCAGAATGATTCTATATTAAAAGTTTTGTATTATCTCAGTTCTATGAAATCTGAATAAATTTTATTATTCATTTTTTTAGTTTAATAATTTATAAATAGTTTTCAGATTTGTTTTTCTTCATATTCATTCTAGTTTTATTTTAAAATAGTATATTTACAATGTAATATAAACCATACTAAATTCAATAAATATTTCAAAAAATATTGATTTTTGAACATTTTAATTATCAACTAAATGAAATTAAATTTTTGTATTTAAAATGCATGTTCCTTTATGCATTCAGATTGTTCTAAAACTGAAGCTTAGCTTCATTAGCATAGAGCTTTTTTCTAGCCTCAAATACGAAATTTGAATGTTAAAGTGACTGAGGAAAAGTTTTTTTTTCGTTAACTAGTGGCATTAATAGTTAAATTTTATTAAACAGTAAAATAGTAATAGCAACATTTAACTGCGGTTATTATAACAAGAGAAATTTAAACATTCTAAAAGCGTTAAGTTATAAATAATTAAATTTTTTTTTTACTAAAATTTGTTACCTACTTAAACAATTATCTAAAATTTTATTGTCTATACAACACTAAATATGTCATATTATGTAGAATACAATGCAATGCTATAAAAAGCAATTAAAAATTCCATTTTTATATTGCTTTGCATATTATAAAAGAGTAGATATATGCAACACATTTAAAAAAAAAAATTGGTATCTATAAAATATCAAATAGCTAATTATGGTCATCAGATACTCGAATGAGATATTGAAAATAACATTTAAAACTTTAGATATGATAGTTCAAAAAACTAAGTCTTTTAATCTACTTGACAGGATATCTTGTTAACCATTAAAATAATTTAGTTCATTAAATTTCATCAGGTTGTTGAAATAAATAATTTTTGTCCAAAATTCAATCAAGTTGCTCAATGTTTTTTAAATAAAAATTGCAATAAATGATCCGTTATTTTTTAAAAAAAACCTTTCAAATTCCTTAAGAACTAAAGAATTTTGCAGGTTTTATGTTTTTTTGGACTAATAATGTTGGAAATACCCTTTTATTCTCTTATAAATGAAACCGAATTTTATTTTAAGACACTCTAGGAAGACCCCTTAAGCAGTAAGTTTTATCATAAGAAAAATATATAAATGTCTTTTAGAATTATTGCTCTACTTTGTGAGAAACTCTAATTAAATATTAGTTTACTTTATTGCACACAATTTTCGATGTATTTTTATTATTATTATTATTTATTTTTTTTACAAAATAGTAACCTGATTATCCTTGCCAATCTACATAAATTCATTTTTTAAGCTTCATAATTATGCGTATTACTTAATTATTATTGATTTAATTAAATAAATTACTGTACTTTAAGTACAAAGCTCTTATTTGTTTTTTGTTTGGGTTTTTTTAAACCATCATTTAACAAAAATGTAGAAGTTGAAAATATTATCACCTTCTCTAAGGAGACATATCAGCATTTTCAAATAAAAATTCTTTGGACAAAGAACTGGCAACAGGTTTTTGTTTAGATTTTTCTATACTTCTGGCATCAGGAGCAGTAGGCTCCCTCTCTAGTGATCCCCATGTTGTTGGCTGAGGGGAGCCTGCTTTCAATAGAGTGGCTGTTGGTGAAGAAGCATCAAGCTTGCTGTGGCCAACACCATATGTAAGATACATAGACAAACCTACAATAACACAGTGAAAAATTTAAAATTAAAAATGCATAATTTACTGTTCTGAATGAGGAAAAAAATGTTTCTTTAAGAATCAGACCTTACTATTGAATCAGACCTATTAAGAAAGCAATTTCAGTTTTTAGTGTGACTTGAAACAAGTTTTTCTATACAAATAATAAATTTTAATCAGTCAAATATTTTCCATTCTGTTCGATAAAATTTTGCTAACTTTCTGGTAACATCATGATCATAGAACTTTGGGTCCTTATCGAAAAATCTCAACCCATTGCGATTTGAGGTCATCGTTGTTACTAACATTTTTTACATTTAAAATTTTTTGCAAACTTTTAAAATAAATGATATTCTAATAGTGCAAGGTTAGTGCTGTATGAAGGATATATCTCTTTCTAACCAAGCTCCAATATTTTCGTACATGTTGCTAAAGATGTGCGAAGACTTCACTGCTTAGTGGAGCAAGATTCCTTTTAGATCCCCTATATAGCCCCGACTTTGCACTATTAGATTATCATTTATTTAAGTTTACAAAACATTTTAAATAGTATAAAATTCAATGATAATGATGACCTTGGTCAAATTTTTTGCTGGTAAGGTCCACAAGTTCTATGAGCCACAAGTTCATCATGGAGTTTACCAGAAAGATAGTAAAAGGTCATCGAACAGAATAGAAGATGTTTGACTGATTAAGGTTATTTTTTGTCTGCACTAATGAACCGAAATTGCTTTAGTGCCAACTCAATACAGTGAGAAATATATGAGTATCAGGAATTTTATTACAATAAGTAGAATGAGATTCAGTTTTTAGAATTTTAAAAAAGAAAAAAGCTGTTATGTCTTTTTTAAGGGCTTGAAATTTATGGCAGCCTGTTGGTCCAGGACTTTTGATATTTGACTTCGATTGTCTTAAAATAGTTGTTATTGGTCCTTCGATTCCGCCATTGATTGGAGAGAATGATATGTAACTGAACTTAAGTCAGTATCACTATTAACTAATGATTTGACTCATAACTATAAATTTAAAATTCCTCTTTTTTTATAATTATTTTATTTATTTTGAACCATAATAACTCAATGGTTAAAGAACTGAAGTGTCATTATAAAAGACAGGGTTTGAAACCTCATTGGTGGCTTGAAGACCACCCAGCTTGTGTGAGAATTAAAGGTGGCTTGTGCACAATTCTGACTACATTGTTATAGTCCTTGGTCATAATATTGTGGAGCCCCAGTCTTTATATCCCACGGGCCCACAACAGGCTGTTGCAAGAGTGCTTTACCAGGGTGCATAGCATTTTTAAAAAATGCTTATTTTTGATTTTCATTTTTTAAAAGCCCATAAAGGGGTTCATTTCATTGGGTTTTTTTAAAAAGTGCTTAATTTTCCCTTTTTTAATATGAGATTTTCCGTTTATTATGTCTTCAAAACCATGCCTAGCTATCTAAAATCAAATAAAATTAATAATGAAAATTTTCAATGGAAATTAAAAACAATGTTTTTATTTATTATGAAAACTTTTAAATTTGAAACTATGAACAATTAAAATATAAAAAAGTAACAATTTTAAATAAATATTTTCTTCAGTATTTAGGTATGTTGTTGTAGTTCATTTACGTCGCACAAGAGCTGCACAATGGGCTATTAACGACAGTCTGGGAAACATCCTTGAGGATGATCCGAAGACATGCCATCACAATTTTGATCCTCTGCAGAGGGGATGGCATCCCCGCTTCGGTAGCCCAACGATCTGCACGCGAAGTCCAGCACTTTACGGCAGAACAGTTTAACGAGACTCAATACCGCGAACTCTCGGTCCCTACGCAAACTGACTGCAGCCAGTGATGCTTGACTTCGGTGATCTGCTGGGAACCATGTCTTAATGATCAGTCTACTGTGTATGATTAATACCTAATAGATACAAATAAATGTGTAAATTTTTAAATTACTATTGAGAATATGTCAATTTTAGTTTTTACAATTTGCGAAATTTTTCTAATTCTATTCTGGAAATCTCAGGGAATTTAGTTTCTGTAAAGTGACTACCTTCGGTTAATCTAACATGTCCTTAATACACTTTTATTTTAGAATTGGAAGAAAATTATTTTAATCATGTTTTCTGAAAATAATAAACATTTTTTAGCTATTCTAACTTATATTAAAAAACGGCATTTTTTTATTTTTTGTAAAACGCATATTTTTATTACCATCAAGTATATATAAGGTAAGTGAAACATCATTTTTGAATTTTGCTTTTTAAGAGATTTCTACAAATGTTGATTTTTCATATTGTTGTTGCTCATATTTCGTATTGTTGAGAATAATACGAAATGAAGAAATGTAACTCGCTGTTCACAGAAGTGATTTCAAAATTAATATATAAAAATGTGGCCTGTCAGTTTAAATTTTTATTTTTTTCAGTAAACAAGAAAACATGTTGTGGCTAAAAATAAATATTGCCTTTAAACTTAAAATGTATCAATTATTCCAACAGTTTATTACTTACCCACAGCTACCCAAACTAACAATCTCAACCATGTAGCTGCTTTGAGATTGACTATGAGAACAGCATTGACTAGTATACTTAAAGCGGGAATCAATGGGACCAATGGTACCTGAAAAAGTAATTAACATTGTTTAATAAATAAAACCTAACTAATGCAAAAATCTAATGCTGGTATTGCAGTTTTCCATTGTTGTCGGTTCATTTTTATGGGGCAGATAATCACATGGTAGGATCCAATTTTCACACTTAATTTTCATTTGGTTATCATGAACATAAAATTAATAGAAGTCATTAAGGTATTGTTTTCCTATGAACAGGGTATCCGTCCACCTGGAAAAACATGAATTTCGGTATTGAACAAAATTTGTCATGAAATGTCATACTTTTAACTATTTTTTTAAAAAAATCATGAAAAGTCGTGGATTTAGGTCACCGAAAAATTTAATTTTTAAAATGGAATTCCTCTCCGCCAATTTCAGGGTGTTCCAAATATCTGAATTTGTAACAAAATCCCCTCTCAGAGTCATATTTTATTTTTAAAAAAATTTATCATGTTCTTTAAAAATTATGGTGTTCATTCAAAAAATGAAAGAAAAAACATTTCTAGAAAAGTATCTTTTAAACTTCTGTAATTTCAAAATTTTTGTTATCATAAATTTTTTTTAATTTTATCAATATAAAATTTTAGTTGAAGCAAGCCAGTCATTGGCTAATTTTTTTTTATTCCGAAATGCAGGGCTGATTGTAACTCCGGAAAAAATCCGGATTTTTCGCTATCAGTGATCCGGAAGTTTCCGGAGATCGAAGGTCCAGACGTTTCAAAAAATCATTCATGACGGAAGTTTCCGGAAATCAAATTTTCAAAGGTGGAACTTAAAAACACAGTTTATTTTGTTTGTAAGGGAGAGCCAGATAAATTTTTTATCAGTAAATAGTTATTATAATCATAAACTCAAGAAAGAAAGACAGATTTGTAAATTTTAATTACTTCTCCAGGTCATAATAGGTATGTGTAAAATTTTAAATATATTTTAAGTAAACTAAAAAATATTGAGAAAAAGGAAAAAAACCTTGTTTAAATTTTTTTCAATTTAAACTTTTTTTTTCTTCTTTTTTTTTAAACTCAAGAAATTTTCCGGAATTTTGACTTGGGCTCACAATCACCCCTGGAAATGAGAACAGAAAAATCAGGAGTATTTCTGTCCTTTCTGGTGAACAAGAAAAGTATCTTTAGAATATGATTCTGCAGAAAAAATGAAAAAAAATTTTTGCTCAGCTATTATTTTTTCAACTATTTTATTGCTTCACCTCTTTCTTTACTCTGTTTTTTAATTTTAAAATCAATAAATATGAAGACGTAACAGTTTTGGTTATACCTATCATTTCAATTAATGTTATTATTATTGCTTTTTAAATTTATTATTCTGTTTTTGTCGGAGAAAATAGTAACTTCGTTAAGTCATGAATTTGAAAATCTAAAATGTAGCAGATACCCTGTATAAAATATTTTTGTATCCCAAATTTAGAGGTAAACCTGTAATATTTATTTTCCTTTTTTTACTCTGCTATTATTACCCATTTGATTGTTTTCTTAATCAAAACTAAAGGAGTTGTTCCTTTATTATAACGTAATTCTGTGATACTTCCTTATTACGCGACATTTTAAGATGAAACTTATTTGAATTGGTGCCTAAACTTATTAACCGTAACTAATAAATATAAATGGAATAATAAGGGAAATAGAATCATACAAGATCTTCTATACTATTTACTAAACAAATTTGACTCAATAAACATTTAAAGAAATGAATATGGAAAGGGGGGGGCACAAGTGTAAATAAACAGAATACTTTATAGTACATATTTTGGGTGAATAATTTCAACTTTTGTAGAAAAAACTTTCATGTTAAGAAACAACAGTTATTGCGAAGCCATATTCGGGGAGGGTGGCCCCTTAGCTGCAGTGCCGGATTAAGCATGTGCGGGGCCCTAGACCATTCAAATTTTTGGGGGGTCCTTAGATTAAATTTTTTTTCTCGTATATTTTTTATTTATTCAAATATAAAAGTATTTATATATCTTTTCATTTAAGAAAGCATATTTAAAATAAATTAAATTTTACTTTATTTTGTTCAATTAGAACTAAAAAATAATCATAACATATATATTTGAAATAAATTTTTTTTTAAGTCAACGTTTTTCTTAATTTTTTTAAATTTATTTTCAAAAATCCACTTTAAGGGGGCCCCAAGCCGTGGCCTAATGGGTAATCCGGCACTGCTTAGCTGTTAAAAAAAACTGTTAGTAAGGTTATGGAATATTTAAATTCAGTTTTCATTTTCTCATGTCAAAATATCTATTCAGAAAATTTGTTTACTGTGTAATTAAAATAATAGTGATGAATAACTTCTGAGCAATTCGATCTAATTATCAGGATTTTCATGTACTTAGATTCAATTTTAATAGTTTGAAACACAAAACGTATTCTGAATAAACGTATTTTGTTTTTTACTGATTAAGATTTTTGGATTTTTAAAATATGGTTGAGAGTTCTATCCTAATAACCAGTAACAATAAAAATGTCGTTGCTGAAAGTCCTCTTGTGGTGTAGAAGTTAGGACAGCGAGGTACCAGCTTAGGCGCTGTCCCCGTTGTTTGACTGAGGTCAAAATTATGCAGCAAGATAGAGCCCGCGGAAACGGGTCTGAGTAAGGCTCCTATACTATCAGAGCTGACCTATCAAGCAATATTGGAGCAAAAAAGTTCGCAAGTTAACGTTATGTTAGTATTGTGCTTATGTTAGCTCTTTGGAGCAAAAATATATGATGAGTCGGCCTGTCTAATTCAGGGGCTCTAGGTCTGAGTGCTCAAAATATGGGGTAACGATAATTTGAAAAATATACTCCCAGTAGTTTTATTAAGTGAACTGGTGAAAGTTTGAGCACTATAATGTTGTATTTATTTGTGTAATTCTCAATATTTGCTGAATAACGGCAATCAAAAGCTTCTTTCACACACCTATACAACTGGTTTATCAAAAAGTAATCCCAGGTAAAAAATTACTTTAATAACGATTTTTTTTGGTATAGAAAACAATAAAAATTTTAGAATAATCTTAATTGGTGGAATTTTAAATGACTAGCTCTAAAGTAATAACTATAGTTCAAATAGTTACCAAGAAGTTAAAATTTAAAAATAATACTTTTTTAAAATTGATTGCTCAACCAATTTCCGTCAAATTTTAGAATTTGTCATTCGAAATGACTTAGTTCAAAAAGATTTAAAAATTCACATTGCTTTCAATTCAAAATTGTTTCTATCATTATTTAAAAAAAACTGTTGTTTATTAAAAGTACTTTTGTTTCACATGTTATAAATTATCTTTGAATAAATCAGATGATGAGTTAGAGTTTATGATGAATGGAGTTCATGATTTTTCGCTTAAAAGTAATATGTTTTCACGAAAGTAAAGAAAAAATAAAACACTACAAAGAATTAGAAATTAGTTGAATAATCCTATAAACACTTTTAAAATCTTTCAAAACAATACCACATTGTCTATTTAAAAAAAGAGACTGTCTTCCTATGACACGTCTTCACTGTATTTGAATTCTAATTTATTGTATTTTTCTTATTATTTAAATTGTATGCTTAGATAACTCAGGGTTCCCATGGATCAGTGAAGACCTGGAGTTGTCAGGGAATTTTATTTTCACTCCAGAAATCAGGGAAAGTTGCAATTTTCTTACGAAAACCTGGAATGTTCCTATCTCATACCTAGAAAATAACTAGTCTTAAAATTGTCAGTAACAGTAATCAGTTATTGAGATTAGAGTTAAATAATTCTAACATCTATTGCAATTATTTGTTATGAACATTTCGCATTTTAGTCAAACTGAAATGTTCCCTTACTCATTTAATAATATTTTTTTTTTACACAGAAAATCTAATATTTCACATTACAAATAAGAAAATCAAAGCTTTCTGATGAAAATATGGTCTGGATTTTCATTGAAATTTACCTGGTATTCGTGGAAAAGTCGGGGAAATTTTTTCTGAAATTGAGTGGGAACCCTGTAACTATTAAAATAATAGGAGAAATTTAATTATTCAAAAGGGTAAATATATTTTGTTTTTATTTATTCTCCCTTTATACCGTTAACATTTCAATCCAAATCGCAAAAACTTTTACATTGTTATGTTTTCAATTGAAAAGCGCGCTATATATTTGTAGCTAACCTCAATTTTAGGCTCCAGGAAAAAAAGGAAACTTTCTTTTGTTATGCTGTTTTTTTCCTCAAAAGCGACTATACTGCCTCAAAACAGTTATTGTGTATTCAGTGTAACAGAATCAAACTATTTTATTAACTAAATCTTATGCAAGAATAACGGGAATAAAAATAGTAAAATAAAATTTAAAAAAATTTTTTTTTTCCTCAACTAGACTAAAAAGGAGAATATATTTCATTTTTTTTCGAACGTAAGATAAACAAAGACGTATCATTTTGAAAAAACGGAAGAAGGTGATATTAAATGATGATAGAAGTTAATTACAAAAGTGATGTTCCTTATGTTTCTTATTTTAATTTTCCCTTCATTTTAGTTCTACTTATGTACTACCTTTTTCGTTTCTTTTTTTATTTTACTTGAAAAAAAGTAGTTTTTTAAAACTTTTTTCCTTTTTAATTTTATCTCTGTTAGTTATGTCGAAAAGTGGTCAAAATTTACAACGGTGATAAATTTTGCTTTATTTAAGTACTAATTTATTAATAGTAACTTAAATTTTAACGCCCGGTGGCTGAGTGGTAGCGCTGTCGTGCCACATGTCCTTGCTTCGATCCTTGGGCCGGGCAAGGTCGACTCAGCCTTTCATCCCTTCAGTGGGTCGATAAAATCGGTACCAAGTATGCTTGGGAACTAAACACTGGGGGTTCCGCATTGGGCTGACCATTCAACCAGAACATTTGCTCTTGCATCCCAGAGCCCAAAGGTCACGAAAATTGAGATGGGCACAGTAGGCCTTGGCCCTCTATGGGCCGTCGCGCCACTGAGTTTAGTTTAACTTAAATTTTACGACTTATGAAAGAATTTACAATTGTATTGGCATCAGCTACAGAACTCTAGTTTGCTGGAAAGTGGTTGAAAATTCTATTGACATTAAATTCTTTTTGGAAATACAGTTCTGCTTGTAACTTCCACGAAATGGTTAAAACTTATTTTGTTATCAGGCACGGAACTTCAATTGAAATTTGAACACTCTTGTATCTTATTTATTTATTTATTTGATCTGGTAAGGACGAAGAAATTTTTGCAGTGGTCCGGAAATAATTGAAACTTGTATCGTTCTCAGATACAGAGTTCTAGTAGAGATTTGAATGCTCTTGCTGATCAGAAAGTAGTCGTGCCTCGCCGGTTCAATAAAGAATTAATAAAAACGGAGTATTAATTTTTTTAATTAAAGGTAAGTTCTTTGCAGTGACTAAATAAGGGGTAAGTATTCGCGGCATGTGCTCTGAATCATAATCGAAAACAAGATTTATAAGAGCAGATATTTGTAAAGAAAATAATGATTCTGATTATTTAATCTTTAGATCAGTTTTACACATAATTGGCCAATCTTAGTTAACCCTTGAAAGACTGAAACTTAGCATACACCTTATTGCCCAAAAGCAGTCAAAATGTGGCATTGTGAAAGAATAACAAATGTATAAGGAAACTTGTTTTATTATTTTTATATTATTTACAGTTATATAGCAATTTATTAGTAAATATTAACAAAAAAAAAATTTACTTCACTTGGAAAAAAAAGTTTATGCATTATTATTTGTAAATTTTTTGCAAATGAAAAAGCAGTCATAATGACTTCCTTGGGCAATCTAGTGTTAAGAATACTTTTTTTTTAATGGTAAAAGTATTTAATTTAGCAGAATTTTTTCAAACTAACGTAGTCACCTCAAAATTTTAATTTTTTTTTCTTTCTTTTTGCTAGATAAAAAATTTTGTTCTTGAATGTAGAGTGAAGATCTTGGAAAATTTTGAAATACATAATGTATTTTTAAATAACTCCAATGAAGAATTTAATGGCGCGAGACTTCGTAGCTACTAGTCTTGGCAAAATACAAAAGAAAATTGTATATTGAAGGTAATAAATTCAAATTATTTTAAACTTTGCCCCCTCCAAAATAATGGATAACGACTACTACAGTAGCTTGGTACCTCTATGATTAAATCTTAACATTTACATTAGCATAAATGCTCTGATATTTTGTGAAATAAATTAGTTAATACTGTTCCTGCTTCTTAGTACATAAATAGTAGAATTAAAAATGGATTCATAATAATACTCGACTTTATAAATGGCAGGAATTATCGGTCGTTTTTGTGAAAGATTCCTTTAACAAAAAGAATGATAATACATTTTCAAAAAAGGTAAATGAAACCTTACCTTATAATTAAGATGTAACGAAGATTGGTGATGAATCGAAATAAGGATGAAACACAAAACAAAACCACAGAGCACAATGACTAGAAGTATAATGGACCACCATACTCCATCAAAGATGTAATCGTAACATCCTCTTACAAATCCACAAAGCAAAAATGTAAATACCACGTAACCTATCACGGACATCACCACAAGCTTGCCAGGACGCAAGTCAATATAAGCTCTCAATATTCTAAAACGTTCTCTAAGTTGACCAGCTTGATCTAATATGGGTGATTTATCGTCATTACTTTCTCCCACTGAAGAGAGCTCTTGACTATCTGACTTCAGCTCTGAAGCTGGTCTGTATCTCAGAATTATAACAGATGCACTGACCACGAGATATGCAAATAATGTGCCGATTGACATAACTTCTACTAAAGTATTGATGTCAAAAATTAAAGCCATAATGCAGGACAAGGAGGAAAAAATATACATAGCTCCTAAGGGTATTTTTGTTTTTATGTTGACGTTTGAACAAAAAGCGAATAGTAACCCGTCATCTGCCATAACGTACACAACTCTTGTTAATGCGAAAAGACTTCCAATTATTCCAGTGGCCATTCCACTAACAGCACCTAAAATTACGACTATTTTAGCCCAATGGGCCCCATGGTATGCTAGGGCTTCAGGCAATCCAGAATCATCCGCTATATCTTGATAATTAACCATGAGAGTTAAAACAGTAGATACTCCAACGTAGGCTAGAGTTGCAATGCCCATTGAAAACATGGTAGCCCTGGGGATAGATCTCTGTGGATCTTTCGCTTCCTCTCCTGATGAAGCTATCGAATCAAATCCTACATAGGCATAAAAGCAGGAAGCAGCGGCTGCCAGAACACCCGAGAAACCATAGGGCATGAATCCTCCTGTAGCCGGGTTTGTCCAATTCTTTGTATCAGCAAAATAAGCTCCCACCCCTATAATAGTTAATATTACAACCAGGTTGACGTATGAAAACACATTATTTAAATATGATGTCATTCGGACACCAAAGGACAGAAATATAACGAAGAAAATCAAAATTGCCAACGCAAGGAAGTCTAAGTATTCTGCCATAAATGTGTGGTGCATTTCTCCAATAACTGTTATCGTTCCATTTTTTATCATACCACCTGCTAAAGAGTCAATATAAGCACTGCAGGACCTTGCAATAGCCGCTGCTCCAATAACATGCTCTAGAGCGACGTTCCAACCGACTAAGAACGCCCAAAGTTCTCCAATAGCTAAATATGTGTATGAGTAAGCAGAACCCGATCTTGGATACCTCACACCGAGTTCAGCGTAACACAGCGCAGCTAAGAATGATGCAAACCCGCTGAATAAGAATGCTAAAACTATAGCTGGTCCTGCTGTTTTTTTGGCAACTGTAGCTGTGAGGACATATACTCCAGATCCAACCATATGACCGATGGCAAGGAGCGTGATGTCTGCCGTGTCGAGACAACGGCGTAAATTTGTTTCCATGAGATCTGTATCAACAAACTTCTTTCTAGTGAGACGGGATGCATAGCTTTTAATCCTTGTGGCTGTTCTTTTGGCTGTTGACACTACGCCTGAAATAGGAAATTAAAATTATGTTAAGCTGAAATCATAGGAAACCTTTTATTGCACTGTTAGTTTATTAGTCTCATTAGAAATTATAAAAATATATATCTATGTATTTTTTTCGCATTTTTAATGCTTACATCTTAGCAGAGAATTTGCTGCTGTTAATTGCAAAAGTAGTGGTATTTTTACTGGAATAATTCTGAAGTCAAGAATAATCAAGATTGAAGTAGGAATGGAATCTATCTTTATCTCATCCAGTAATGTATCGGAGTCACAAAATTGCGCTTTTTTTAGATTCAAACCTAACACAAATTTTGTAAATTGGATTTTTATTTCTTAATGTTCACACCATATATAAATAAAAAAAAACTCATCAAATCTATTTTAAAGAAGTTTGAAGAATACTAGTATTAAAATTGCTTTCTCAATTCTGCGTCATAGAATTTAAGAAACAAAAAACTTTTTCGCATTTTAATGTGGTTTCGAAAAACTCCAATATTTTGTTTAAAATGCATGCATTTCTTCAAATAAAGCTACAAAGACAATAATATTTAACAATTTAGAAAATAAGATATGGATAACTTGACAGAAGTAGTGGTCAACAAGTGGCTGAAAGTGGGCATAGCCTAAAATCGCGTTTAAGGCAATAAGGCAAAGGAATGTTTCTTAAAATTCGCATTTAAAAAAATTATTACCCTACCTGAACATCGCACTTGATTACGTTTTTAAACTACAATTATGACCACTGTATTTTAAATTGAAATAATAAGATATCCAGGAAAATTCTATGACTTTTAAGATGAAGCTTGAAAAATTTGTCCCGTAGTATAGCGCCCTCTTAAACACGCATTTTAAGGAGCTGTAATTTTCTTAAATACGCATTTTGAGCAGTGTCAATTTTCTTAAATACGCATTTTAAGCAGTGTCAATTTTCTCAAATACGCATATTGAACAGTGTCAATTTTCCTAAACACGCATTTTGAGTTGTATAATTTTTCTTAAATCAACATTAGTTATCAATATTAAACACGCAGTTTGAGCCGTGTCAATATTTTTTAAACACGCATTTCGAGCTATGTCCAAAATAACATAACGATATCACAACATATCATGGCAAGAATATTTAGCCTTATATTTTTAATTGCATTTTATTGGAAATTTAATTTCGTATTGCTAAATTTTAAACCTGATGTAACTAATAATTTGGAAATATGTAATATCTAACTTAGCAGCATTTGGAAATGATTTGAGTTTGTTTTTGTTTGAAAAATTTCGGTTTTAATAAAATTGGTTGTAATTGTTTCAAGTAATTCCTTTGTTGATTTTTTTTTTTGTTTTTGAACCTGGGTAACAATGTTACCAAAGTGAATATATCGATCACTGGATTCCGAAAAACCTACATTTTAGAGGTAACAGTACAATTAAGAGGATAGGCAACAACAACACAATATAACTTACATAAACTGCGACATGTATTCATGTGACAAACTATTAAAATAACCACGAAATTATAGCCCCGCCATGTTTATTTTTTTATGCAAATTAAATAAACTGATTTATTATTTAAAGCTATATTTGTCAGAATTATCTACTACTAAATATAAAGGGTTTAAATCCATATGTAATTCAAAAATCAAAAGCAACTAATGTGCAGTTATCCATTATCCCGTTCAAGAAAACACTATCTTTAGTTTGACAAACCATATAAATTTTATAGCCTATTTCATTCCTTGATAAAAAAAAAAATAACTTTATGTTCTGTCTGACACAAATACAATTTTATTAACATCATCAGGCCACGATTAAAAGTCCTCTTATTTTCGCTATGTTTAACTTTTTGAAGGGGTGTTTCGTAAAAAATAAACGGGGGCAAGCCACTTCAAATATTTTAGGTTAACAATTAATCTGTCGGAGACATTGTTTTTCTCGAAAAAAATTTTATTATAAGAAACACTATTGAAACAAGGAAAAATAAACGCATTTTTTTAGTTTATTCTTTCATTATTCATACCATAAATTCGTTTATGCCATTCATAATTAATTTAAATTTAATTCAATATAATTTTCTAAATATTGAGATATTTTATAGGTTTACTAAATGAAATTTTCCTACAAATGCTAAAAATTATTTCACAATGGGCCTTGGGCGCACCATACGGGGCACAATTCACCATTGAATTTTTGTTAATTTTTTTTTCTAAATTTTCTTCTATATACCTACAAATTTAAATTTTTATTAATTATCTTAATAAATGATTCCAGTTTGTGTTTCGATAAAATCAGGATAAAGCATTCATTTAAATTAATTTGTTTTGAAAAAGAAATAAACCCATGTTTTGATTTCAAGTAAAATAAAGGATTTATTTACGTAAAACATTAAAATTAATTATTTATCAATTCATCCTGATTCACAAGGAATTTATTGCAAGACAGCGTTATTTAATGCTGTTTTTCTTACTTTACTTTCTTCTTACTTTCTGTGTTTATGCAATATTTTTTCTTTTAAGTAAAAAATTTTTGCAAACATTTTTCATAAACTAAATAAAAAAGTAACATATGCTATTGCATATGCTACTTTTACTATGTTAAGTATGGGGTTTGTTGCAATTATCTACATTAATGTACAGTGCGCAAATAAATAAATAAACGGACCACCTAAATAACTTTTAAACTAATGACCGGATCTTCACGTTCTGTAACTCAATCTTAATGGTTCGAGGAGTTGACCTCAAATATGATAATTAATAAGTGCAGACGATATTTTAAGTTGCAAAAATCAGATACAAAAACTTTCTTTCTCTGAATAAATACGGGTTTCTGACACCCCAGATATAGAGGGTAGCCGCAGACTGGGAAATATAGTCCCAATAGTTTTGTCAAGAGAGCAGTCCAAAGTTTGGACTTCTTATTGTTAATTTTACATTTTTTTTTATTATTTCGCTATATCTCGAGAACTTTGATACCGAATTGAAAAATTTTCGAACAAAATTATAAAACTCGTTTATCCGAAGATAATTCCATGCAAAATATAACTTATAGCAAATATTTATTATTTTTTATTATCTTATTTAATAACAATAGAAAAATTTTGAATAGTAAGGTATAAAAAATTTTACGTGATTTTAAAGATTGCAATTTTAAGAGTCAAAATACGAAATTTGAGGAAATTGATCGAATAGATCCTGAGAAATCGAATTTTTAAAAAGTCGTATCTTTTGAATTCGATCTCTTAGGAATTATTTGGCCGATTTCGCTCAATATTATATTTTGCCATTTAAATTTCTTTTAAAATTATGAAGCAAAAAAATTGCATACCTTACAATTTAAAAAAAATTTGACTGTTATTAAGCAAAATAATAAATATTTACTAAAATTTATATTTTGCATGGAATTATCTTTGGATAAACGAGTTCTTGAAACGAAATAAACGAGATGTTCTTGAGATATGGTGAAATGTGCAAAAAGTAAAATTAACATTAAGGGGAGGGATGCAAACATTGGACCGCTCTCTTGACCAAAACTATTTGGACCAAGATTGCGACCACCACCTATATTTTAAGGGTTAGAAATTCGAATCCGTCGAGAAAAAAAAAAGGTACGTTAATTCAGAGAAAAAGCGTTTTTGCGTCTGATTACTTAACTTAAAATATCGTCTGTACTAATTATATGAGATCCCCCCTCGAACTATTAAGATTAAGTACCTATTTTTGATCGATTTCGATATATCTAGTATTTGAAGATCCAATCATTTGGTCAAAAGCTATTTAGGGTGGTCTGTTTTTTGAAGTTATACTTCTTATGCGACTTCCAACAAGGTTGCGTTAAACGTTTAACGCTACATTTTTATTGGCCGGGAAATCACGTGGTAGGATCCAGTTTTCCCTCATTCATTTCCATATTGTTTTGGTTCTCACTAGCATAAAAGTCATAAAAGTATTGTTTTTCTATAAATATTTTTTCAGTTTGTTTTGATACACATATAATTTAATAGGGTAGTATTTTTTATTTTCAAATTTAGTGGATAACAATTGTAAAAAATGAGTGAAAACAATCCCACGGCGGATTTAAGGTTATGTCAAGGTACGTCTCTTGTGAATATCAATTGATTGTTAGGTTTTCTCTTCTGAAATTACATTATGACGCATTCACATACATTATAAACACAAATACATTTTCCAGGGCGAGACGATGAGACAACCACGAGCACTTCCACTGGTTCACGAGGCAAAAATGCACAATATTACCGTGATTACAGAGCACGGAAGCGAGCGGAGCAGGAAAAAGAGTCGTTGAATAGAATTAGTGATCCTTCTACGACTGCTGATTCTTCTACAATTAACGTCGCAGGTTGCGAAGTTTAACTTCCTTCGCGCGGAGGGACTCCACACACTATTTTTTTTTATTTTGCGTACTGTACAGTGCGTAACCGATTCGAATTTCTGACCCCCCAAAATATGGTCCCAATAGTTTCGTCAAGAGAGCGGTCCAATGTTTCCACCCCTTTTAATGTTAATTTTATTTATTAGTGAGAACTTTTTAAGCGAATTTAAAAAAATTTGCACAATTATAAAATTTGCTTTATTAATCTATGCAAAAATCTTTATTAATCTATGCAGAAAATTAGTTTTTATAGTAAATTATTTTTTTAAAATTATTTTATTCAATTATATTTGAAAACATTTTGCTAAGGTTTACAATTTCACTGACGCCATATGCATGACACTTGTCAGCTTCTGGAAAGAGTGAAAATATGTACTTTACGCTTCCTAGTTTATAAAATACTATTATATATAATCATAGTACTTTAAGAATATGTTCATACTTTTGCTGTTCGAAATACCCTAATTTTACTCTGCTTCCATTCGAAAATTATTATACAAAATATGACTAAGTATTTAAGAATAATAGTGGTATGAGTATCTCTTGTAAGTCTTCTTTAACCGTCTGTTATTATTAAGCTAAATTACGAAAAACAAATAGTTCCAAGGTTAACTTTGACAACAAATTGAAAAAAAGAGAAAATGGGTGACATTTATAATAATGGCATAAACAGCCGTTTTCTGCCAGAAGTTTGTTGTGATGCTTTCTTAAGAAAAGTTAAAACAACTAAAAATGTTTATCATAAAATATCACGTCACGCTTCACAAAGTAAAAGGGTTAGTTCTATTTATATTTGGGAAAATTGGTCAAGCGTTTTCACTTAACCATGCATTTTATTGTTTTACTTTTCTAACACTTTTTCTTGTTTATTTAGAAGCACTGGAAACTAATAAATCGAAGTTGGAGTTTAAATCTTGAGTAAAAAAATAAATAAAGCAATGTTATGTGTTACAGTGAGATTTTAAAATGTAATAAATGTTGACATTCTCTAATAAGTATCGATATTCACATAGCCACTTTGGTGAATGTCCAAAGCGCTTGTTATATCTGTTTTATATTAAATTAATCGCGCAATGTCTCACACTTTTTGGCGTGTTATTAATCCGATTTATTGCTAATAAACCACGTCCTTTGGTAAATGTTATAGAAAATGCACATTATTAAAATCTCTTGTCATTTCCAACACTGTTTTTTTTCTTTTAAAGGATATGTGCTCTTTCCTTTAAAAGAAAACCTTTAAAAGGATAAAAACCTTTTTTACCTTTTAAAGGATAGGTGTATATACTAAATATTGATAAAAAAAAAATAATTCGAACCATCACCAAAATGATTATAGGAATGTCGAGATTTATCAGACTGCTGACGTTCTACCTTAAATTGTTAACGGTGACAGATACTTAGGGTTGTAAAAATAACATTTGAGAAGAAATCAATTTATACAGTACAATGAAGTTAAATAAAAACAAATACTATCAATTATCGAAAAGTCATAAAACAAGTTATATTGACGGCATTATCAATGTCTTTAGTTCTGAAACCTTTTAATGTGCAGTTGAAAGAGGAAACGGAATCTCTCATCTGAAAGTTCTTGAACAACTTTTGATTTAATAATCGGAATTTTTAGTAAGATGTAATTTTAATGGTTCCAGGGGCAAGCTTTAACTGTGCTATTTATTTGGTAATATGAGAGAATATTTAAAATTTTGTTCCAACATTTTAATCAAAGATCTTTCAAACTTTAATATCATTTTTACTTGTTGCATTTTTTACTGCATCTCTAAAACGAATTGCCGGCATTATTTGTAACTATTTTTTAAACCAGATTCGCAAAGATGATTTTATGTAAATTAACATCAAATGTTATTTATAGTTTTATTTACTTAATAATGCTGGAAACATCAGAAGCTGTAAAAATAATAAACGTTCACGTAATTTTTAAGTAAGCAATTTTAAATAATAAATTTTAAAATTTGATAGAAATGGATTGAATAATTTTCTAGGTATTAAAATTTAAAAATGTGACTTTCTTTATTTCTATGTACAAAATATTTAGAAAAAATAGTTAAAATGGTATAAAATATTTGATATTTCATTATCTATAAAATATTTAGAAAAAATGGTTAAAATGTTATAAAATATTTGGTTATTTCATTATCTATAAAATGAAATAAAAAGAGGGCAAAAAAACATATCTGGTATTAAGAAAGTACATAGAATAAAACACTTAAAAATGATTGCATTTCATACTTATTTTAGGTGTGATTATTATTTTAGATGTTCAAACTTATTTTAGGTGTGAATTTCGATAGACATTTCAGGTAGGTAGATATTTTATTTGCGTCGCACTAGGCTGCACAATAGGCTATTAGACTTTTCAGAGTTTTATACATTTCGACATAAAGTTAATAAATTTATATTTATCGGCTTTGCATTTAATGTTTAAAAATTTTAATTTTACTAAATTATTTAAAATTTATTCTTGTTGTAAAGCTTGTAAGAACTAGCTTTTCAATTAAATCCTTAATTATACATGGGTTAAATATATATAGCATTTTCAAAAACTTTTAAACAACATTAATTTTTAATAAATATACTTCATAAAATTTTATTAATTTTTTTAAAACAGTTATCATTTAATTATTGATAAAAATACAAGACTTGTTGAAATAATTTTGCATTTTATGAATAACGATTTAATTTTTAATTATTTTTTTGAAACTCAACTAAAGGAGAAAAAAAGATTTGGGATAAAGTACAGTGTCAAATAAAAATTATTTACCTGAATCTGATGAATCTCCCATCTTGCTTTTTGTTTACAAATCCTTATGTAAATTAATCTTTCAGAAAATTATGCTGCATCAAATATTTATCAATACAATATGTTCATCAAACGCTCCGTATGGTGACACTTAACGGCTTGAAAACGAGACATTTAACTTTTATTTTATAACTTTAATAATAATGATAATATCGTTAATAAATAAATTTCTAAAAAGTGTGAGATAAGTTAACAATTTTAGCAAAGGATCTGTGTTTGTATCGCGGATCTGACAACATCCCCTGTTAGATGTTTCACTGCACGGCCTCCCACGCTTCTCTGGAATGCTTTTGGTTTGACAGCTATCAGGGGAAAACTCGGATGATCGCCAAGATGAGAATGAAACGGCGCCGCTCTGACGAATTATCGCCAATCGAAAAAGTCCCACAGTAACTAAAAGAATTGGCAAATAGAAGGAGCATGCGGGCAGTTCGAAATCGATTTGTTTTTTCTTTACGAGGGAAATTATGAAATATAACGATTACTGACCTTTAAATATCTGACATGTCAAATTTCCACAATTTAAGTACATTTGATTCCATAATTTTTCGTTCATTACGTTATAAAAATTTAGGGAAATAGATTATACCATTTTAAAGCATTATTTTGCAATAAAAGCTTTGTTTGGAAACAAAAATTATTCATAAATGATTCGGAATTATTTGAACGAATTCGAATTTTCTTTCAACTCTACATATAACTTCTGTGTTATTTGCATTACCTCTTTTTTTTGGGACATTAATTATTATTTTATATTTTTAATTAAAAAGTACATTTGCTTATACTCGTATTTTTTTATTCATTACTTTACTTAACGAATTTTTTTTACAAATACTATAAATGACTTATTGATTATTATTTGAATATAATAAACACTGAAAAGGCGAAGTTTAGTTGAATTAAAAACAATTTTTGTAATAAAATAAGAAATATATTATTTGTTCCTAACACTATGTTATTTTCACACCACATGTAAGTCAGCGAGGGAAATTTTTTTATTATTGATGGCTGAGATTTCAAGCTTTATTGGCTTTAATTTCTTTTTAGCTACGAAATAAAAAGAAATCTATAGTTGTGGCTTTAAATTGAACAACTCCGAACATAATAAAAATTTTGTTTCAAAGTATATCGATTCATTTGAATTTGGAAATCTAAAAATTTTCATTATGTGTATTAGCTTTAAAAAAAAATTATTTTTTTAAAACTAAGTGCGTTAATATTTCAATGAAGTAATACAACAGACTCGTACAGAATGTATTTAATTAACTCATAGAGGTTTCAACAATTGAGTTTGCTTTAGCTTCACATTATGAATTTTGAAAAGGACAATCGAATATTTGAGCCTTAAAAAGAAGAAGAAAGAAAAAAAGTGCTTAAATAACAAACTGTAAAAGAAAATACACATGGAAAGCATATTTAATTTAAAATAAAAAAGCTCTAAATAAAACTAAATGTTTTTCATACATATTTGTTTTTAAAATTCTCACAGATAGAAGTTGGCAACATTTTATAGTTTTTATCTTCTAAAGCAGTTTAAGTAAAATAGAAAGAAGTATTATCTAAATTTCAGAGTATTGATTTTCCCTTTAATATTAGAAATTAGAAAACGCTGCGGGTTTTAAGAAATAAAAGTATTACGACTTTCAAAAGTCATGCTTTCAATATTTTATTTTATAACCATCGTTGCACAGCTGACAAATTTTTTTAAAATTTATGGCTACTAATGTTCAACTTCGTAGCCTTGTAATTTTGAACCTGAGCCAGAAGACAAGGGATTAAGTATTATGAGAAATTTGCCTTCGTGCAGGACTTTTTGATAAAATTCACCCGCATTTGCGTTACACGGAGCAGAATACCCTGAAACCTTCCACGGTTAGCCTGACGGCAAGGGGACTCTAACCCATCATCTGTATACCACTGAGGATGTTTTACGTTCGCACTATGGTTGATGCGAGCCGGGAGCGGAATTCGTTTCGATCAGCTGTCGCTGTAGTTTTTAATATTTCATTAATGAGTGATGATATATCTAAAACAAAAAGTAAGAAAGAAAAAATATGCGATACTAGGATTCTCCATCCCCTGCTCGCTAGTGCTCGCCAATTCCTGGAACTGCTTCCGCAATTTCCTACGGATGAGCTTGCTTCGCTCGCTCATTGGATACTTTACTTCCAACTAGCTTGTATACTTCTTTGAAGACTAAAGTTTAGAATAAATAATTTAAAAACTTTTCTCTGTACAAAATTCAAAATATATCTTTGGTTGTTTTTTTTTTTTTTTAAACAAAATTCTAAATATGTACATTTCAATATTGCTTTGGAATTGCAGACAATTTTCATATCTTATGTACACAAATCTAAATTTCAGTGTTCAGAACAACAACAGCAGTGACTCCTTTGTTTTATTACAAATATATAAGAACCAAAGAAAAGAGTAAGAAAAGGAGTATAGTCTTAGTAAAAAAGGTTAAATTAAAGTAGTATTTGATGGTTGAAAGAAATCCTTACTATGAGTTCATTGTTAACAATTCAAATTTCTCAGAGGCAGTTCTTAAATTCTTAATCTCTAAATTTTATTATTCCTATGCACGATTTTCTAAATTTAAGTATTCAGACGCATAACAGCTTCTAGTTCTCAAGTTTAGCATAAAATTTTAAAATGCTAAAAAATAAAAATGAAAAAGGATCATAATAATAAAGAAAGTGAAAATTACGGTAATATTTAGCAGTTGTGACTCTCTCTTTACCTTTGATTTTATAACCGTCGTTGAACAGCCGACCCATTTTTTGGGTTTACGACTACTAATATTCAACTCCGTGGCCTTGTCATTTTGAACCCAATCCAGAAGACAAGGGAACTCCTGGATCAAGTATAGGGAGAAAGTTGCCGCCGTGGAAGACTTTTTGATGGAACTATTCCGCATTTGCGTTACATGGAGAGGAAGACCACGATAACCTCCCACGGTTAGCCTGACGGCAAGGGGACTCCAACCCATGATCCGTCTACCACTGAGGATATTTCAAGTCAGCGCTGCGGTCGGTGCAAGTTGGATGCGGAATTCATATCGACCAGCCATCAACGGGATCGAACCCCGGTTCACCCCATTGGAAGGCGAACGCTCTATCCCCTGACCCATCACGGCTTCTTTTCCGTTGATTATTATATTCAGTACGTAGATTATCAAATATAGTTTAAACTCTGACAAAATTTAACTTAAAGAAAATAAATTTAATCAAAGCAATCAATTAATCAAAGCAATATTTAGCTTAAAGTATGGAATAATAAAACAGCGTTTAGCTACTTTGCTTCATGTTTATGCCAGAGCGTGAAAAGAGATGTTATCAACTTTATAACCACGTACAAGCAGGGCCGGATTAACCTATAGGCACACTAGGCACGTGCCTAGGGCCTACGAAATTCAGGGGCCTACGAAAAACTTGGGAGAAAAAAATTTGTTGACAAAAATAATTTAACTTTAAAAACAACAAGTGTATTTTGCACAAAATTATGAAGATACAAATAAAAATATAATATTTTTCGGTAATAAATTATTTTGCAGAATCTTATGATCTAATATATTACTTTTTTACGATTTTTGGATTCAACGAAATCTTGTATTATGCTGTCGAATTCCAAATCGATATCAACTGCAATATCGGCAGTATGTCGGTATTGCAGATAAAGTTCGATAAACAAATTTGAAAATTAAAATCCATATTAACAAAAATGTAAAAAAAAAAATATGCAAGAAAATTTTAGCATATATTTTGAAAAGAGGGGAGGAGTGGGGGAGGGAGGGGAGGGCCCAAAAACGGCTATGCCTAGGGCCTACGAAAGGTATAATCCGGCTCTGCGTACAAGGGTTAGGAATGGTAACGTAAATAATGGAAATTACTAATTTCTTCATATTCTTCAAGAAATACTTAGGGAAATATTTTAAAACTTAATAAGTGTATAAGACATTGGATTTCTCATACATATTAACAAATAATACATATTAACATACATCTCATACATATTAACGTAAGCTTTAAACCAAAGCTATTAGAAGTTTGAAGGACCATCAATAAATTGCGAACGAAAAAAAAAAAATTTCTGAACACCGTATGCCAAAAAATGCAGTGATAAGCTTGTAACTCATGCCAATTACGTTGATATTCATATGAAATAGCTGCACAAAATTTCACAAATCTAGCTTAAATATTCATGAAATGTTTATGAGCATTTTCAAAAATAAAAAAACTAATTTTTTATTATTTACGTTTTTTTTACTATAACTGCAGTAATATTCACTAAAATTAAATTAAATTTAAGAGTAATTTTAATTGATAGCAAAAATACCTCGTTAAAATTTGAAAAAAAAATTCGTTAAAAATTGCGCAGGATACGAGTATTTAAAGTAATATTTTTATAATCCGCATGCACGGAAAATATTTAAAAAACAATTTTCGTGATTTTGTTATGGATCGTATTGGATAACTTACGAAAAATTCCAATTTAAATATCTTGAAAATTTAAAAAGTTTCTAGCAATTTTTCTAAGTCAGATTTTGGAAAAAAAAGTTTTTTTTTCCTCCTTTTTTTTGAATAGTAAGGGGTTTTCTACAAATTTAATTGTGTAGTATTGAACAAGATTTATTAAAAATGACATCGGAATTTATAGCACCAGACTCTGTTAAATTATGTTTGTTTCGCATGATTTATTTCCTAATACCATTACATTTTGTAGTCCGGACCATAATTTCAGGGTATTATCATTTGTTATAAAATTTTGCTTTATGCTATAAAATGACATTTGTTGAAAAACCCCTTTTCATTTAGAGCTTTCAATAAAAAGTACAAAACTTCTTAGAAATTTGCCTCATGCTTAAGACAACGTGTGAAAAGAAACGTCATCGATTTTACAACCACGTACGTTTTTACTTAAAATATGGAATATATGAAACATCATTTCACTGTTTTGCTTTATGCAAACTCTGAAATTTCACCGATTTTATAACCACGTGCGTATAAAAAACCCATTAAGTTAAGTTAGAAATTATTGTATAGATGAGAATTATCAGATGAGAATACCCACATAAAAAAATGAAAGCGCAATAAATTTTATCTCGCAATAAATTAAAAAAAAAAAATTCTTTGAAATTCTTACAATAGATATGAGTTATAGCTACTATATCACGCCGGTATTATACTCGTTAAATGCTAAAGGTAACTAAATCTTACGGTATTGTAAACTAAATTTGTGGATAAAGAAGTACACGAAAAATAAAAAAATAAACAGAATAAAGATCATGAAATT